GTTGGATTGTATGGCGTACAACATACAATTTCTAGATGACTGGTCATCAATGCGTACTTGAGATGCTCAGGGCCAGAATTGGAACAGCTCCAGAAAAGCAGGCCAATTTGTCCCCCCCACCATATCTTCAATATTTTCAGTTAAATACTTGCTAGTACTTTTTTTTTTTTTTTATCACAAGAGCTGTAAGTTGCCTATGGTGACTGTCTTTTGTTACCTTGGATGAACTTTGTTTTCCTGAGTGCCAGTACCTGGAAGGGAGAACCTAAGAAAAACAATTCTGCGAACAAAAACAACTCCCGGATACTGGCTCTCTGCAATGGTCAACCTGACCTCGCTGTTTTTGCTAATTGCACATTTTAGCTTTTGTGACTATCTTCTTAGCTTGCAGCTGCGAGAAGGGAACCTTGAGGACTTCTGTGATGAGAACCACAACCATGGCAACTCTTATGAAGGGAAACATTTAATTAAGGATGGCTTACAATTCAGAGGTTTAGTCCAGTATTGTCATGATGGGAGTTTGACAGCACACAGGCAGACATGGTGCTGGAGAAGGAGCCGAGAGTTCTGCCTCTGGATGGGCAGGCAGCAGGAAGAAAATGACTCACTGGGTCTGGCTTGAGTATCTGAGACCTCAAGCCCTGACCCCAGTGACACACTTCCTTCAACAAGGACACACCTCTTAATAGTGCCACTCCCTATTAACCTATGGGGGCATTTTCTTTCAAACCACCACAACTTTCTATCCAGGATGTGGTTTTCTTGCTTCAGTATGGTCCTGAGAAAGGCTCAGGGCTGCAGGTAGATTCTGATTACGTAGACATAGTTACTAGCTGGCTGGAATAAACACTTTCAACAGACTGTGTCTGGGTGATCTTCTCTGCTGGGAGCCCCACCACATTTTGAACTGAAACTTTTTGCATGTTTTCTTTCATTTAAAACTTTTTGTTTGCTCATTTCCCAGTGATAAGACATCAACCAAATATTGACTGCAAGTCTAAAAATGCATTTTGGAGGCTACTATGTAGGATATTGGCTCAGGTTTGTAGTCCTTGCTGTATAGAACCAAATGTCTCTTCACTAAGTAAAACAGCACTGCTACTGTAAGTAGCCAAAGTCGGATTCAGCAGTATGTGAAAAGGGATAGTAAGGCAGAATGTCTATCCTGAAGTATTTGATAATACTTCAGTGTAAGGGGACACTTAAATACATTTTTAACCTATAAGTATAATATTTGGGAAGCCTTATTCAGAAAGAGTGTTTTGCTCACAAGTATTCTTTATATTCACTAAACAAAGGCTATCTTAAATAAGATGCATAAATTCATAGATGGTGGTAAATGCAAAAATTTCAACTATTTTAACCAAAAGCTTACTTCTTTGCTAACAGTATCTTTAGAACTCAGCAAAAGTTATTTTCCCACAATACCAAATGTTGTAATTTAAGTAACAAGCCTCAAATAGTTTGACACTCAATAATAATGGATTTCACCACTTTACTGATGAATCTTTTTTTAAAAAATAAACATCTATTAAAAACAATCCAGTTTCTAGAAATAGGTCTAAGGAGATACAGTGCTCTTCATTAAAACCCCAGTAGTTACTATTTTAATGGGATGTCTTGATTTAGGGGCAGAATTTAGGAAAATGTTTAGAGTTTATCAAAACATGTTACTTATCAGCTGGACGTGGTGACACACGCCTTTAACTCCAGGAGACAAGGATGTGCAGATCTTTGAGTTTGAGGCTAACCTGGTCTACAGAATGAGTTTCAGGACAGTCAGGGCTACATAGAGAAACCATGTCTCAAAAAACAAACAAACAAACAAACATTGTTACTTATCATCTAGGGGTCATTTTCTCTGCCAGTTAAAGACTGAAAGGGCAAGAAAATCTTAGACAACAGAAAGTAGTAAAGAGATTCAGCACATAAAGAAAAGTTATTAGGGATGAGGAAACACACACACACATACATGCACAGGCTGCACAAAGAGAAAGACCCTCTGCAAAGCAGAGGCAGCATGGTGTAAGAAATAAGAAATAAGTCTACATAAGAAAATGAATGGACTCATTTTGACCCTAAAATGGCGAGAGCAAACTATTGGTTTTTGAGGGCGGCGTCTGCTCAACATCTGAGGTTACAGGAGAGAGCACCATGCAGGGCCTAAGAATAAGTTTTCATATGGGGGTGGAGACAAAGTGGGTGGTTGGCTTCACAAGGTCCAGAAACTGCTCTTTATTGAGATAAACTTCTGGGTAGTAGTTAAATTAGATTGCCTGGTTTTGTGGCCTCTAGACTGGGGGCCTGTTGTCATGGTTGGCTACTTTCCAGTATTCAAGGTTTCTTGAAGAATTGGGCCTATCTTACATCCCTGATTTGGGATGGGAAGTTTTCTTTAGATGCAAAAACAAAGCCAGGTCTCTCCTTACAAGCTCGGGTTTTAATTGTCTTGGAAGAGTCTTCCTTCCCTAATTTATGATTGGAATAAGGGGAAGCTAATAGATTTGTAAGTCTGGCGTAAATAGGTCATCATCTGACCTTGAACTTCTCTAGGATCTTGAACTTGTCAGACTGGTCCACAGGCAGGCACGGGGGTCCTTGAGGTGACAGAAAATGCTGCCAGGCTTTTGTTGTTGTTGTTGTTTTTCCTTTTTTGGTGTTTCAACAGTTTCTCTGTAGCCTTGGAGCCTGTCCTGGAACTAGCTTTTGTAGACCAGGTTGGCCTTGAACTAACAGAGATCTGCCTGCCTCTGCCTCTGAGTGCTGAGATTAAAGGTGTGCGCCACACTGCCCACCCTTTCAGACTTATTATTTGTTTATTTAGTCTCAGGTCAGGAGGCTGAGGAAGAAGCCAGATGCTCTCTTGGAAGTTCACCATCTTTGTTATGTAATCATGGCCTTTTCCCTGGGTCTGCCTATCTGAGCCTGTAACTCCCAGCCCCTCAGAATGTCATAATTCAACATTGTTGAAGTGATGTTAGGAAGGCCTTCAGTTTGTAGCTCTTGAAAAAGTGAACCCCCACTCAGAGTTCCTCCCATCTGGAAATGACGGCTCTGTGTTTGGAGAGAGTGCTTATCTTATCCTTTTCTGTTTACAATGCTCTCCTGCACATTTTGACATGATCTGTCTGTAAAGTGAACTCTTTGAGCCACTGAGCTTAATTTGGGATCCCACAGGAGCATGACGGGGTAGGGAGCAAATTACCAGTGGTTACAGCACGGATAAAAACTGTCTCTTTCCCCACCGACCACTAACTGTCGCCTCTAGATGAGAACTTTTTTCATCTGATGCAATATATGTTTGTCTACTTGACTGATGGAAATAGAGGTGGGATATAAATTTAAATTGCAAATGATGAAAAGCATTCAGTTCAGTAGAAATTATAGTTATAAACCACAAGACTATAGCTACAGCTCTTATTCTAATTCTTTCCCCTCTTCTATACAGCTATTTTCTACATAATTTTAAGTAAGTTGCCTATCTTCATCTTGTTTCCATAAAACAAACTTAAATAAATTATTAGAAAAGGTACCTAGCCATTCTGAAACCTTGCACTTGCTTGCAACATTCCAGTTCAGCAAGAAGAGTGGGGAACACATATATGGGAGTTGGATGTCTAAGTAAGTTCTTCGTAGCAATTATTATGAGAACGTGAACATAAAGAGGTAAATTTGTGCTACTCCCTTCAAACATTGTCCATGATATCTAACAAAGGCCAGATGCTTCTAAGGTGTTTATTGTCCTAATTGTGTGTATGGTCAGGATAGAGCAAGCATTCTGGGTCTGAGGTCAAGTGGTTGTAGTCTAAATTATCTGAAATGGTCTCAAATTGTTAAGTTTACCTCAGTTATTAGAGAGAAGATAAAGAATGGAGGGGAGATAAATAACACATCATCATGGAATTTAATTCCAGTTATTTCTACTAGGAGAGGGGGAATAGTGCATCCAGTTTTGAAAAGCTTTCCATACATTGGCAGAATTAGCTATGACTCAACGAAAGAACCTAATTGACGATTCCGAGCTTTATACTTTAAAACAAATCTCAACTGCTTTGAGATGTGTGGCTGCCAAAAGCAATCTGAGATTAGCAGAAATGTTTTCCTACAAATTGTCACCAACCACACTCAAAGCGTTCTTTATCTTCAGTTTTCTTCAAATATCTTCTCAATCTTCAGTGTCAACTCCAATTTCAGAATAAAAGTATTATGTGAAGCCTACCTAGCCTACAACTTTTTACAGGTACCATTTTGAGACCACACAGTTAAATAAATATTCCATAATACCACATGTTAAGGTACTTAAGGTCACATGTTAGAACGCACTAGAACAGAGATAGATATTAATGACTTTATTGTTTTTTTTTCTTTGTTTTTTTAACGGAAGGATCTTACACTGTATCCCAGGTTGGTCTGGAACTAGGAACAATCCTCCTGCCTCAACCTCTCAAGTGCCTCGACTACAGGTCTGAGCCAGCACCCACCGCAATAGTAACTAAAATGATAAGCACAAGAGAAGTATTCCTCATCTAAAACACACCAACTCTGAATGTTAATTAACTCAGTCTCTCCAGGAGTGGCACGTGGAAAACACTGCCCTGTGCCAATCAGAAAGCGTCAATCTTCACTACCCGCTAGAGACGGCAGGATGTCATGAAGGTTCTAGCAATTCATTTCACTGGCAATGGAGAACAGCAATAGCTGGAAACAACGTGCAGTTTGGGAACTTGGAGGTTAGAAAGCTTCTGCAGAGCAACAGAGGGCGCAAGAATCCCTTCTTTCCGGAGACTGCTGGGCGCGGTTCCCGGGCCCGAGCCGAGCCCCGCCCCTCCCTCGAGCTCTGGCCACTCAGAGAACTCTGAGCAGAATGATTGACAGGACGGCCGTCCGCGGCGTTGCGTAAGCGCTTCACTCCGGAAACGGAGACCTCCTTGCGCTTCCGGCCAACGCTCTCCCAGCATCCCTTGCGTGCCGGCCCTGCAGTTGCTCGCCCGGCCGCCTCCGGCCTTGCGCGCTGGATTTTGAGCACGCGTCTGCCCGGGGCTGAACCCTGACGCGGCTGCGCGGCATGGCGCAGCTGGAGGGCTACTACTTCTCGGCCGCCCTGAGCTGCACCTTCCTGGTGTCCTGCCTGCTCTTCTCCGCCTTCAGCCGTGCTCTGCGCGAGCCCTACATGGACGAGATCTTCCACCTGCCGCAGGCGCAGCGCTACTGCGAGGGCCGCTTCTCCCTGTCGCAGGTTGGTCCCTGCTGGCCCTGCCCCGGGCCGGGCTCCTCCCAACCTCTGTGTGTTTCCTTTTCCCTGTCTGCCCTCCCACACTCAAAACGTGAAAGCAACTGGGTAAAGGCTGACTGTACCTAGCCTGGAGATCCACGGCGTATTTGTTAGGTGATGCGAGAAATGCGGACCCCAAATTATAGCTCCTCTTGGCAGATGACCAGTTTGCCTTCCTAAGTCCCAGGACTAGAGGCATGCGGGTGTCCCCTGGAAATGCAGAAGACAGAACAAAACAAAACAAAAAAACACCCCAAACTTACTTCTAAGGTATTCCACTCAGTGTTTTGGACGCCTAATTGAGCCTCTTAGGCCACCAAAGAGTGATAGTTTCATTCAAACTTCATCTTTGTATGTTTTTAGAAACTTGCTCTTGTCTAGATAAATTGGTAACTAGTCAGATTGCATCATTTAAAAATATATGTTCAATAACATAAATATGCATAATACAGAGATAAATGCCATATAGTCTCTCATGAACACAGTATGGGTTACTGCTTCAAAATATAAAGTCCGTTGAAGAAAATCCTGTTTCCCTTGGTGCTGTTGCTCATAACCTTTGCCATTTTAAGGACCACGAACCTGCAAAGTAATAGTAACTACAGTCTCTAATACAGAATGTATTGCAAGATGTCAAACGGGTAAGCACCAAACTAAGTCCCAAACTAAGAGATTTTCTGTTTAGAAGTCTTGTAATGCAGTCTCTCTAAATACTAAAGTATCTAAAGATCCTTCAGAGTCCAACTGTTGTTAGCCTGGCTTGTAAAATTGGGGCCGGTGCAATTTAGTCACAGAATACATGTTTCCTAAAGAGCAAGCCTTGGAAAGTAGAAACAAATTATAACTTACTGTCTGTTGCTTGATGATACCTTAATAATTCCGAATGGGTTTGAGACAGGGAGCAAAATGGTTTCTTAGAATGGACTGGAGCGGCGGCTCAGTGGTTGGTAGCTCTTGCTGTTTGGACTGAAGACCAGATTTCCCTTCGCCCACATTGAGCTGCTCACTAACCATCTGTAACTCCAGTTCCAGGGACCCAGTGCCCGCTCTGTCTTCCACAGGCACCTGCTTGTCTATGTTGCACATACTTAGATGTGTGGGCACACACATTCAATCTTAAAACTAGAACTTAAAGACATCTCATCTGCCAGGATTTATTTAATTATGCCATAGAATGTTCTCAACTAATTATTCAATATTGGAACAAATGAAAACTGATTTTTGACACACTTGTATCAATGGAGTCATTATTGCTTCAGCTTTACCGTCGGTCTTTTCTTTTTAAGTGGGATCCTATGATTACTACGTTGCCCGGCCTGTACCTGGTGTCAGTTGGAGTGGTCAAACCCGCCATCTGGATCCTTGGATGGTCTGAACATGTTGTCTGTTCCATTGGAATGCTCAGATTTGTTAATCTTCTCTTCAGTGTTGGCAACTTCTATTTACTGTATTTGCTTTTCAGAAAGGTACAACCCAGAAACAAGGTATGTACAGAATAGAGTTATTGCAAGTTTCTGTGCAGTCAAGTTACAGTTATATAAGATGGAGGAACATGTCCAATGGTTAGTTTTTGTAGGTTTTACAAAGCTAAATGGATGTTCTCTACTTATATGTAGAAGGTGTTTATATTTCAATATGGGAATAGCTTTATTTGAAAATCTAAAAGTGTTTGTTAGTAAACCAAACCATTTTAATAACTCCATGCTTTCTCTAGGAAATTAGATAGTCTAATGAATCTTAGCTGAGGGAGCTGGATATGACTTCATATGCAAGTCTTGGAGGTAGGTTGCCTTGGTTTAAATTCAGTCCTGGCTACTACTTATATGAACGTGAGCAAATTACTCCTTTATGATTTTATATTTTTATCTATTTGAAGTAATTTAAATATTAAAATTTTTTAAATATTAATTTAAAAAATTTGCCTCATTGAATTTGTATTACGAGTAAAGGAGCTTGCTTAATAAAGGGAGGTTGCTTAGGCTAGTACCTAGTACAGAGTTTTAATAAATGTTAGCTATGGCAGCAGTGCATGATTTTCATTACCTGTGACAGAGTACTTTGATTTTTACAATTTCTTCCTTACTAGTTTTAATTATATGTTTGTAAATTGCAGTTTCTACTATTTAATATTTTGTATAAAACTGTTTACAGTACAGATTTGTCAGAACAGGATGTATCGTATATGTGCCAAGTTTACAGGCTGTTGTGGAGCTTTATCTATGTATTTATTGAGACAGGGTCTCACTATGCGCCCTGCTGTCCTCAAACTCTGTGCAGGTCTGGCTGTCCTAGAACTCGTAGAGATCCACCGGCCTCTGCTTTCCAAGTTCTGAGTTTAAAGGTGTGTGTCACCACACCTGACCTGAGGAGGGCTTTAGTCGAAGGGTTGGCACGGACTGTGTGTGACAGGGTTAAGTGAAGGGTACAGGTCAGAGAGTTCAGAGTAGTTATTTCTGAAACTATCAAAGAAGCTAAAAGAAGACATTTAGTTTAGAGTAGGCCTGGATTTCGTTTTTTAGGAAAAATTTCTTGTCATTTCATTGTACAAAAAGTAAGCTCACTGGGCAGGGTGAGGAATACTGTCTACACATTTCAGTTTTCTCTAGTGTAGAGGTTTGAAGGGCTATCCTTAAAGAACTGGATGAGATGGGCTGAGACCCCAGTTCAAGGTTGCAAGGTGACGTAACTGTGCCATCTTTACTGCGTTCTGTTCATCCCTGTGTTCCCCATGTACCTTAGTCCAGGGTCTCCTATTCAGCGACCCCTAAAGAATTTGTTCAGTGATTCAAAAAATTTTAAGCTCTTAAGAGGTTTACACCATTAGTATTTTAATGGTTTACAAGCTGATTAATTGCCAGAGGTATTATACATGGTGTTGCAAAGTCAGAAATGTGCTTCATTTGAATTAAACTGCAGTGAGTTTTTTTTAAATAAATCTCTTTATTAATTCAGCAGAAATAGTGTATTTATTTTACCCTAAAAATAATTTTTTCTTTTTCCTTCAAGGCTTCTTCAAGTATCCAGAGAATCTTGTCAACATTAACCCTGGCACTATTTCCGACCCTCTATTTCTTTAACTTTCTTTATTATACAGAACCCGGGTCTGTGTTCTTTACTCTTTTTGCCTACTTGATGTGTCTTTATGGCAATCATAGGACTTCAGCCTTGCTTGGGTTTTGTGGCTTCATGTTTCGTCAGACCAATATCGTCTGGGCTGCCTTCTGTGCGGGACACATCATTGCACAGAAGTTCAGTGAGGCCTGGAAAATTGAGCTGCAGAAGAAGAAGGAAGAGAGGCTTCCCCCTGTGAAAGGACCATTTTCAGAACTCCGAAGAGTTCTTCACTTTCTCCTGGTGTACTCCATGTCGTTTAAGAACCTGAGTATGCTTTTCCTTTTGACCTGGCCCTACATCCTCCTGCTGGCTGCATTTCTTGTTTTTGTGGTAGTTAATGGTGGGATTGTTATTGGTGACCGGAGTAGTCATGAAGCCTGTCTTCATTTTCCTCAGTTATTCTACTTTTTCTCATTTACTGTTTTTTTTTCCTTCCCTCACCTACTTTCTCCTACAAAAGTCAAGACTTTTCTTAGCTTAGTTTGGAAACGTAGAGTTCAGTTTTCTGTGATTCTGGTAGTCTCGGTATTCTTTGTTTGGAGATTCACTTACGTCCATAAGTATTTACTGGCGGACAATAGGCATTACACGTTTTACTTGTGGAAAAGGGTATTTCAGAGACATGAAATTGTGAAATATTTATTAGTTCCAGCCTACATGTTTGCTGGTTGGACCATAGCTGACTCTTTGAAATCAAAGTCAATTTTCTGGAATTTAATGTTTTTTGTATGCTTAGTCACTTCTACAGTTCCTCAGAAACTACTGGAATTCCGTTACTTCATTTTACCGTATATTATATATAGGCTTAACATACCTCTGCCACCTGTATCTAGACTTGTTTGTGAACTTGGTTGTTACACAGTTGTTAATTTTCTAACTTTTTATATCTTTCTGAACAAGACTTTTCAGTGGCCAGATAATCAGGACATACAAAGATTTATGTGGTAATGGCAGCAATATTTTGAATTTTAAAAGTAGACTTTCTCCAACAAATAACTGGGTAAGTAGAAGTGGAACTCCTTTTAGGTAAATTCAGGGAAGTTGAATGAAAAGCATTAAGTTTGAGGCCAACCTAGAAGCCTGACTAATGACGAGAGAGTGGCTAACAGTTGTCTTGAGAAGCACTGGTGCTGCCAGCTTCCCAGGTCTGGGCACTTTCTGTCTGCACATGGAGGGTGCTGGGAAAGCCCCACAGCCCTCGAACCAGGACATCAAAGAATTGGAAAACCATTTACAATGAACTAGCAGTATTTCTGAGTAAGTGGACAGTTATTGCAGTAAATATAGCTCCGATCTTAAATTAGAATGGATTTACAGACATAACAAATTATGAGCTAGAGGCTTTGGGATGTTTATCTAGGAATCAGGTTTTTTAATTAAAAATGCAGAAGTAGGGAAGCCATTTGAACTAATTCCCAATTTGATGTTTATACAGGCCAAAGATAAACCGTGTTAATTAGAATACCTGTTACAGATAATCTTTCTGTTAGGTACCTCGGGCTCATGTACAAAAATAACTGCAAACCTCACGGCTTAGAACTTTTCCTCACATACTTAGAGGAGCAGCACCTGGATTCAGTGCTACCATAGCTCTCTCCTTCAGGAGAAGGAAATCCATTCATTGTCCCTGCTCAGCTCACTCCAGCAATTGTTTGGGGTGCTTTATATTTGGACAGGTCCCTCCAGTCTACCTGTGTCTTCACAGGGTTGTTTCCATGGGCTTCTTGTACAGATAAGGCCTTTGGATTTAGGGGTCCTCTGATTCAGGCTGGCTTTACCTGGGGACTCCTGGTTATTATCTGTAAAACATTTTCAAGTCAGGTCCCATTCACAAGTTCCAGGTATACATCATCTTGTTTGGGGGGATGTAGTAACTTTTTAGGAGATGTCCTTGCTAAGGTCTTTTAAGTTAAAGTTTGTCTTTAACTGAGAGACCAAAATCAAACAAACAAACAAAAGAGGTCTGAATTCATATAATTTAAATTGTTCCTCTAGCCAGTCAAACCAGAAGAACTCAGAGGTGAGACGTCATTGGTTTAGCTTTATCTTACAATTTAGGGAACAGTATTGGATATGACTCTGGGATTTTTTTTTCTTTTGGCTCTGTTTACTGTTTATTCATTTTATTAAATTCAAGTTTAATAATTTAGTAGAAGTTTTTTTCATTCAACTGTTACTTTATTACAGACACACAGACACTTGGTTAGTTGTGCGCTGTGACTGTAAACCCAGAACTGTGAATAGAGTTTACTTTTTAGCCCAGTTTTCTTTCTCAGTTTTACACATGTACACATGCACACGCACGCACAAAGGGACCAAAAACTTTGCTTTAATTGTTGGATTATGTTTTCTTTGAGTTTTAAGTGTGTGTAAATTTGTATATAAGTTTAAAAACTACTTGAATAAAAGTTACACACGTAGTCCTGAGTGGTCAGTTAGCATAGACCATCGCTTTGATATTTGAAGGTGACTCCAGTAAAACAACGGTGGAGTTGTGAGCAGGCCCAAAGAAGTCCTCCATTTCTGCCTTCACAGTGGATTTATTATGATAGAGAACTAAGTCCAGGAAGGTGAGATTGCAAACACGCAGCTGCTGTCTGCTGCTGCCTTTCATATCTAGGAACACTGAGGGATAGAGGAAACACTTTGTCCCATGTGATGAAAGGAGACTGCCTGTACAGGCCCTTCTGAATTAGACATTGTGGAGGTCTACAGGGAGACAAGGGAGCAGTCTACACTGCTTTCCATAAGTATTGATAGCAGGACTTGGCATTCCAGAAAAGGAGGCCATGAATTAAAAGGTGCTATTTATTTTTTACTATGATTTAAAAATGGATGTATGTTGATGCTTTATAGGGTAGATGCTTGGTTAAATCTTCCTGGGCAGTTGACAAGAAGATGGTCATTTGCTGGTGAATTTCTCAGTCTTTGTCACTAAATGAGTATGTGAGAGAAATGAGCTTCACACAGCAGGTGTCACCTTTGGTTATTCAAAATAACAGGTTCATCTCTGGAAAATCATTTCTCTTGGAAAGAGCCTTGTTTTTACAAATATTATAAACTATGTTTCTGAAAAAGTTTGAACTTCCAAAAATTAAGTATTTTTACTTATTAGACTTAATTGAATTTATTGATTAATAAGTGATTATAAAGGGGCTCAATGGTTAAAAGCACAAAGCACCCTTGCAGGGGACACTAGTGTGGTTCATAACCCTATACAGGGCAGCACACCAGCCCTGTCAGCTCCATCTCTAGGAGATCTCAGACCTCTGGCTTCTGCAGCTACCTGCACTCCTGCATATACCTCACTGCCCCACACATAATTAAGGTAAAAATTCTCAAAGGTGGTTGTAGAAAATGTACCTCTTGCTGAAGGACTTGTGGAGCCCTGCGGTCTTTATCACTCCTTTTCCAGTAGGGTTGTTTTAACTGTCTCATTGGAAAGGCCTAGCCTTTAGCTTGAGTAATCAAGTTAACCAGCTCTACCTTATGTGAAAATCCATAGGCATAGACTATCATTTTCAGATATATTAATAAGGGTTTGTGTGCAATGTATTTTGCTCACATTTATGCTTTTCCTGGGTACTCCTTTTATGGCTGTGCCTCACTAAATGGTGTGGAAATAGTGTTCTTTACATAATATGTTCTAGTACGTAATAGTGAAGGAGGAACTATTGTTCTCATAGTTACCTGTGTTTTTCCTGTTATAAAATACCCGCTATAAACTAATGTCTATAATGTATTTCTAATGTAAACTTAACTGACGTGACATTGTGCTCACCCTGATTGTCTAGAGAGAAGAGAAGGGATCCTCAGCTTTAATGTAGAGCTCCTAAAGAGCGAGCATATAATTTAGGTCCACCTCCAAACTACTCAGATAAAAAGAATATAGATCACTATTATCTTTGAAGCAATTGGAATGTCTCTAAATGGTTAAAAAAAAAAAGTGGACATGATATTTTACCTAGAGGAAATTAAAATAAGACTGTAGATTGTACTTGATTTTGGTTCCAGAATAAAAAGACAAGTTGTTGAAGGACGGTTGTTTATTCCTGATTGCAAATGAGAATGTTATGTCTGAATTCTGGTATCTGAAGTATGTCTTACCCATTTCATCATGGATCCATACTCATTACACAGCCATAAAGCGCAGAAATACATCATATGTTGTATGTTGGGTAAATGTATATTGGATGGAGTTTTCAGCATAGAAGCAAGCAGGTATCCTAGAAAAGAACTGTATTACCAACTTAGGAAGTAAATTGTGTTTTATAATGAGTTACCCTGACCCCTTTTCTGCATGTTTTCTGAGTATTATTTCCAGTAGTATTTAGTATAGATATGCACATTTAGTGTGTATGTGCTACCTGCAATAGGGTATGATTTTAATACTATTTGAAACACAGAGTCTTCTTAATAATTATAGTAGAAGTATTGATGATTTGTGATACTTTAATTATGAAATTTCAGCTGGTTAGAAGCATCTGGTGTTTAGCTCTATGAAGGAATGAATTACTTGTATTTGGGTGATTCTTACGTATTTGAATTTGATGGCAATATGTTGTTGAGACATACATAATAAATTAGATATTGATGATATTTTTAATATACCCATGAATCCAACACTAAATTCTGTGATGCCTGGAAGTTATTTCTAAAAGTAAATTTTGTGATAATTTGATAATCTGATAATAGTCATTATTTTAAAATAAGATATTGATCAGTGGTAATTTGTTTGTTCCTTCAGCACTGTTAAACCAAAAGTAGCTAGGCTATAATTTTTTCAAAAAAGTTTTATTAAGTATTACATCCGGTTTGCATTTGGAAATTTGAGTTTATTTGAGCCATGTGTTTACCACTGTTCAATATGAGTAAGAATGAAAAGAATTCCAGTAGTTGTCTTCATCTATTGATGGTGTTTTGCTGTTGAGATTGATCTGTCTGTTGTCTCTCTACCTACCTGCCTACTACATGCTTTATCACTCGAGCCCACTCACATGCCTATGATGTAGATGCTGATTTCTTTATTACTCGAGCCCACTCACATGCCTATGATGTAGATGCTGATTTCTTTTGTGACTGGTGGAGAAGCTGAATGCCAGCATCTCTGGTGACTCTCCAAAGTCCATTCCTTTTGTCATTGAATGTAAAGCTGTGAGCTTTTGCTATTCTGCCTCAATGTCGAACTTCATTAAGAGAAAATAGGGAGTGAAGTTTCCATTCTACTGGTCAGACCTTTTGTGTCATGTTGCTGAGAACTTACATGTTCCTGAAAATGTTAGAAGCTTTTCAGAGGAGTACAAATAAAATGATAAATACTAAATTGTATAAATACTAAATTTGTATAAATACTAAAAATTGTATAAATACTATAAATTGTATAAATACTAAATTGTATAAATACTAAATTTGTATAAATACAAATTGTTTTAAAAAATTCTCATTTTTTTAACTTGGAAAAAAAGCTCCAATAAGTTCTTAATTAAAAGCATTATACATTCTACATTGCTTTAAATGTAATTCGGAGATTGACAAATAGGTTTCAGCTCACAAGAAAAATGCCTTTGTTTTTAATTAATTGGTCTCTTCAGGGGTATCGAATTCCCCAAATAGGTTTTGTATTTACTGAAAACATTTCGTCAGGAAAGTCTCAGTGACTAGAGAGAATAGATATGGCATAGTACCTTTGCCAGGTGTCTCACATCCTGCCATTTTAAGCCTGTGGTTACTGAAGCTGGTATTCTTTATGTTCTTTGGTAAGATAAATTCAGGTATTTCTTGAAGTATTCTGCCTTTGATATAGTTTGTTTCTAAATTAAAATAGAACTTTTACCCCATTTGTGAAACAAATTTGAGTTGTGCAACGTAGCCAAAGGTGATACAATATTTCGGTGTACCAGTAATACAGTATCTTACCTACATTTATATTCCTTTGTCAGTGAAAAAAAATGTGTTGTGTTTTCCCTGTAGTTCTAAATAGGAAAGTACTGTCTGTACACATTTTTAATGAAGTGTTTACCAGGTGGTGACAATGTGCTATATTTTGAAGTGTTCTTGTAATTTAACTTTTTTTTACTAGTCTAGGTTAAACTTTTTATAGTTTTGTATTTTGAACCACAAAGATTTATAATTATTCACCTTTATTATTGTTTGCTTTTTAGGAAGGGTCTCATAATCCAGGCTAGCCTGGAATTTGCAATGTAGCCAAGAATGACCTTGAACTCCTGATTCTTTTGCCTCTACCTCTGGTCTGCTGGGATTTCAGGCACGCTGCACCAGGCCTAGTTTATGCAGTGCTGGGGATAAAACATACGACTTAGAGCTTGCCTGGCCCTGCTTATTATACTGTGACTCAAAATGTTTTCCTGAGATACATGAAGTGAAGGTTAATGTAAAAACAAAAGTCACTTATTCCATAATTATGTCTCATGGGTTTTAGGATTGTTTCCAATAGTAGTGATGGCTTCGGAAACTCTGCTCTATAGCTACTGCTGTTAGTCTTTGCTTACTCACTGTATCTCAGTTCTCTGGTATTAACTCTACCCACGCATGGAGAAACTATGCCGAGAGAGATTATTTGTCCAATGTTACAGAGTAGCTGGTTGAGCTTAGGTTTATGAATAGGCAGCTTGAGCATAATCCCATGGTTGTTTTGCGGAGTGAGTAAAGGACACTAAACCTACCTTCACTTTTGTAGCATTTTAGGGGAAAAATATGCCATGGAACTATAATTAGACACACTACTTTTTTTAGCTCAGACAAGTGAGGCACACACTAACTGGCTCTTCTAGGGCAGACAATCTTCCATTTCCCATGTGTCCGTCAGTGCTTCATTTTGTTAGTGAACACAAAATCACAATGCAGGCTCAAGTTTTCAGCCCTATTAATTTACAAGGAAGCAAAGATCTTTTATCAAATACTGATGTAACTGCTTAAAGCTTAATTTCTCAAAAAGACTCCTATTTTGGAAAAAATGTTTTAAATGATCTGTGATTTTTAAATCTTTCTGAAAGAATTTGATCTTTGTTTTATAACTATAAATGTATGTTTTAATGTGGTTTTTAAGGTTTTACATTTTATTAAAGACTGCAATGTTTGACTCCTGTCATTTAAACTGTTAAATAAATCTATTTAAAAGAATAAAAACTTTTTAAATAATTTGCTTTATATATTTATTCATAAGAAAATTATATTTTGAATATATTGTGCCCTCTCAACATGCTTTTAGTCCAAACTAATGGCCAATTGCTCTTTCCATTCACTCTACTTCAAGCCATTTTCCCACCTAACTTTAGATTACTTGTCTTGAAATGAGGAGTGAATACATTTTATATATCTGTAAAAATACCCATCCCTACCCTGAATGCCTTGATCTACTTATAACTCCAAGTTTCAGTGGTCAGTGAAGATACTGGATGGTCACTGAGTTTCTGAGCTTGGTTTTCTTTGTTAGTCTAGGTCCAGAGAAAGGTCAGTATTTACCAACACTGCTAACTTGAAAAGACTCTAACTTTGGGCTTTGTCCATTATGAAGACATGAGTACTGCTGTGTCTTCATTCTTTGTATGGACTTTCCCCTATCCACCCCTCAGAGAGGGTAGAGCTTCTCATGGGGAATCAACAATGTCTAGCACATTGCTTTGAGGCAGGACCAAGGCCCTCCCGACTATGGATCCACATATGAGAGGACATGTGCTTGTCTTTCTGTGTCTGGGCTACCTTGTTCAGTGTAATTTTTCTGACTTGTATCTGTTTACTCACAAATTTCATAATTTTATTTTTCTTTCCAGCTGGCAAAATTCCATTATGTATATGTATTACATTTTTATTATCCACTCATCAGTTGATGGACAGCTAGACTGATCCCATTTCCCAGCTATTGTAAACACAACAGCAATGAACATGGCTGACCACAATAGCATGCTTTCAGAGTATGCCCAGCAGGTGAAGCTGGGACAGATGGTTGTTCTATTTCTAGTGTTTTGAGGAACATCCACACTTGTGTCAGTAGTGGCTGCACCAGTATAAACTTCCATTAGCAGTCAATAAGTGGTTCCTCTTTCTGCACATCCTTGCCAGCATTTGCTGTTATCTCTTTTCTTGATGATAGTCATCGTGACAGGAGAGAGATGGAATCTCAAAGAAGTTTAAATTTCCATGTTCCTGGTGGCTAATACTGATAGCTTTCTAGTCTTCAGTTGCCATTTGTACTACTTTGGTGAATTCTCTGTTCAATAAGTCATCCATATGGGATAATGCTCTTGTCCCCTGTAAAGATTTGTCACTCATATTAGTTTAAAATACTGATTGGCCAGTATAGGCAGGGTGACCAGACTAGGGGACTACTAAGAAGAGGAAAGGCAGAGTCAGTCACCAGCCAGATGTAGAGGAAGCAAGATGAGAATGCATTACTGAGAAAAGGTACCAAGCCACATGGCTAAACATAGACAAGAATTATGGGTTCATTTAAGTTGTAAGAGCTAGTTAAAAATAATCCTGAGCAAATAGGTCAAACAGTTTATAATTAATGTAAACTTCTGTGTGTTTCTTTGGAATTGAATGGCTGTGGGACCAAGTGGGACAGAAAGTTGTCTACACCTATATTTGATGGTGTTTTTTTTTTTTTTTTGTGGAATAGTTTGCACAAAACTGGTGTTACTTATTCTTTTTTTTTTTAAGATTTATTTATTATGTATACACTGTTCTGTCTGCATGTGTGCTTACAGACCAGAAGAGGGCACCAGATCTCATTACAGATCGTTATAAAGCACCATGTGGTTGCTGGGAATTGAACTCAGGACCTCTGGAAGAATAGTCAGTGCTCTTAACCTCTGAGCCATCTCTCCAGCCCGTGCTACTTATTCTTTAAAGGTCTGCTAGAATTCTACAGTGAATCTCTCTTGTCTTAAACGTTTTTAGTTGTGAGAGTTTTCATTATTTGTCAATCTCACTGCATATAAGTCTCAATATTTATTCATCTTATTTAATTTTGGTCATATTTATTTAGAAATTTATTCATTTTCTTTTGTTTTTCTA